CAACTCTTTTGTGGTACTTTTACACAATCCATCTCCTGTCTGAGGCTCTTCACAGAAATCCTGAGGGATCTACTGGGATCATCCTCTTCCTCCTTTCCTCCATGTTGGCTCATTTGTCATCTTCTGCTCTGGCTTTACAAATGTGGTTTATCTGTTGTTGGGACCTTTTATGTCGTGATGCTGTTTTATCGCCAACCCATTTACCTGCTCCTTATCTTCAGGATTTGTATATGGCTCTGTTTTTAAGATGTTTCATCTTTGGTATGGTCCTGGAGTCTCGGGGGGCATCTGTCCAGCAACAAACTACCCTTTCCCATCTGGTAGCCTATTTATCTCAGTCAGATCCGAGTGTGGCTCTGATTCCAGTTTTCCATCCTTCCACTTTCCCACCCTTACCAGTCCCTCCTTTCCACAGTGCCATAGCTCGTTGTTTTTCTCGACGATGCATGTTACGCCACCAACAGTTTCAGTGACTACATGGTGAGTTTGGGCCCAGTGGGAGCTCAGCTGGTGAACTTAGTTTATTGATGGTGCCCTTTCATCTCTTATGTTTGAGTTCTTCAGGTTTTATCAGAGGGATTTGACATTCCTCATCTTGCCCCACCTCCCTTGTTCTGGGCACCTGTTTCCTTCCTTTCTCCTTGAGATCTCATAACTTGCCAGCGTCTATCAGAGGCAGTATGGGCCCTCCTCACACATTAGGCTATAGAACCTGCTCCACATCATTCACCAGGGTTTTACTCCTGTGTGTGTGTTGTTCCTAAAAAGACTTGGGACTGAAGACATGTCATCAATCTGCCTTGCCTCAATTGATTTGTTCACATCTCACGTTTTACCATGGAGTCCTACCTTACTCTTCAGTGAGCATTTTCTCTGGGTCTCTGGATGACTAAGATGGATGTTTCCAATGCTTATATGCATATTCCCATCTCAGAACAATCTCATCCTTATCTTCGGTTTACCAATTTCTTGCTCTACCCTTCATTCTAGTTTCTGCTCCTTATGTTTTTTGTCAGGTGGTGAGAGCTTTTGCTCTTCATCTTCATGCCCTGAGGTTGCATTTCCACTTTTACATGGATGACTGGCTACTTCTGGCCCATTCTAAACAGCAGTTGGCCAGTCATAGTCGTCAGCTGCTTGGGTGGGCTGGTTGAATAAATTGGAGAATTCCTTCCTGTGTCCTACCCATTACCTGGTGTATTTGGGTGTCTTTTTTTAACACTCACCTCAGTTGGGCCCAACCTTCTTCTCTATGACTCCAATCTATGGAATTGTCAGTTTGCCATGTCCTATCTGCTCCCTCACTTTCTGCATGCGAGGTTCTGTTGCTTTTGGGGATGCGGTCTTCTATGACACTGCTCATCATCCTTGACCATGAATACATGCACTCCCTTCAGTGGGCTCTGCATGAACAATGGAACCTTGCTCATGATCCCTTGGATGCTCTCACAACACTTCCTTCTTCCCTTGTAAACAATCTCCTTTGGTGGTTGAACAAGACTCGCACATCAGTGGGTGACTCGCTTCTTCCTCCTCGTACGGATTTACATTTGTTTACAGATGCATCCCTTCAGGGCTGGGGTGTGTCGATCGATCACCAGGAGGTTTTGAAGCGTTGGTCTGTTGACAACGGTCTTTGCATATCAATGTCCTCGAGCTCCTAGCCATTCATTGGGCTTTGGATCACTTTCTTCCCATTGCCAGACAAAGTTTGGTAATGATCTGTTCTAACAATTCAACAGTAGTGGCATATATCAATCACCAAGGTGGCACCCGGTCGAGATCGCTCTGTTTTCATACATTGGACCTCCTATATTGGTCCCACGAGCACCACACTTGCTTAACTCGATGACTACCGGCTACTAACTTTCTTAGTAGGCAATGCAAGTCTTGCTATATTTCATTCCAACAATAAAACTAGTGGACAAATATCTTCGAAAATCCATAAGTACTTTGACAAATGCAGGTAGTTTAAGAAACATAAAGCCTATTACTTTTAATAAATTTAGTTTTTTTGCATTATGATCTTTAATATCTTGGAAAATTACATTAGGAAATCGTATTTATAAGAAATGATTACAATATTTATATTTGCTACAGGTTTGAACTTATTACTTTTAATGTTTTAGTACATTATTTTGAAATCCACAAAAAACTGTATCTTCCATAAAATGCAAATTTTATCTATTTTTAATTTTTTAATAATCACTTATACTTCTTATGGTTTCAAGTAATATACAGACCCGT